ATACCTTCTCAGTGACCAACTCTGTGCACCATTACATACCTTCTCAGTGACCAACTCTGTGCATCATTTCATACCTTCTCAGTGACCAACTCTGTGCACCATTACATACCTTCTCAGTGACCAACTCTGTGCATCATTTGATACCTTCTCAGTGACCAACTCTGTGCACCATTACATACCTTCTCAGTGACCAACTCCTTCATGCTGTCTGTATATCTACCAAGGGATATTTCTGGCCAATCCAAAACCTGATCATCAACAAATTTACTGTTAATCATGTTGGCAAAATAAAATATTTTTGAATGAAATATCAGAGTCAATATATTTCAGTTTTAAGATATCTGAATCTTTATAACCTAATTGTACTTCCAGCTGTTTTTTAAACAATCTTTTCGCAAACAGGGTATCAATTATGAAATTTTGAATATTGTGAAAAGGAAAAAAACCCAACTTTTTTATTGTTGATAAAGTTGAAGATGACTTACTCTTGACTGCTGAAGAACAGTGTCACATGATTTTGCCTTTTCTGCCACAAGTTCATCCAGGTTGTATAAGTGAATGGATCCCTTGTCATCGCCTGCAGCAACCAGACCTAAAACAGACATATTTTGATTGAGCATCGTCTTCGGAGGATTTCAAAATGTAACAAGAGTACCACGGGGTGGAAAAAAATACACCCGTCGAATGCCATATAGTGTTATATACTTTCTTACATTGAAATAAGATCTGCATCATTCTAAGAGTGGTTAGCTGATATGCTATAAAAAAATGTAGGAGAAATCTTCAGACAAAAAATCAAATACTGAAATGAACAAAAAGCAATAAATTTTGCAAAAAACGTTGAATAAAAATTCTTTTAAGGGAGACACAACTTCATATCATGACTATCATGTAAACCAAGTTTCAAATAGATCGGTCGAAAAATGTAGGAGGAGATCTCCGGACAAAATTTAAATACTGAAATGAACAAAGGGCAATAACTTTTGGAAAAATTGTTGAATCAAAATTCTTTTAAGGGAGACACAACTTCATATCATGATTATCATGTATACCAAGTTTCAAATAGATCGGTCGAAAAATGTAGGAGGAGATCTCCGGACAAAATTTAAATACTGAAATGAACAAAGGGCAATAACTTGTGGAAAAATTGTCGAATCAAAATTCTTTTAGGGAAGACACAATTTCATATCATGATTATAATGTATACCAAGTTTCAAATAGATCGGTCGAAAAATGTAGGAGGAGATTGCCGGACAAACAAAGTTTACGCTGGACGGACAACGCCATACCATAATACTACCGTCAAATTTGACGGTCGTATAAAAAGAACAGAACTATTTGTTGAGCTTTCATCAAGAATTGACATGAATAAGAGATCCAAGAGGCTAGTATTGCTCGCCTGAGTTGTCGTGGCAAATCTGAATCGTTTTTTCAGAGATTTGATACATGATCATTTAGAAAGAGGCTACACATAAGTAGTTCTAAAATTCGGTTTATATCAGCATTATGCAATTTTGAAATTAATACATCTCAGCCAATAGGAAAGAAGGCCATCATTTTTAGATTTTGAATTGACCCACATTACATTTCATCACTTATTCATGACCTGAGCTATCCATTAGCATCAAGTCTTGCGTTTTAACAGTACAGCATGTCACATTTGTCAGTGGCATGCCTGCTGACATAGGTTAGGATATTGTAGACAGAAGGTTAGTGCATGCCTACAGACATAGGTTAGGATATTGTAGACAGAAGGTAAGTGCATGCCTACTGACATAGGTAAGGATATTGTAGACAAAAGTATAGTGCATGCCTACTGACATAGGTTAGGATATTGTAGACAGAAGGTTAGTATACGCCTACTGACATAGGTAAGGATATTGTAGACAGAAGGTTAGTGCATGCCTACTGACATAGGTTAGGATATTAAAGACAGAAGGTTAGTGCATGCCTACTGACATAGGTAAGGATATTGTAGACAAAAGAATAGTGCATGCCTACTGACGTAGGTAAGGATATTGTAGACTGAAGGTTAGTATATGCCTCCTGACATAGGTAAGGATTTTGTAGACAGAAGGTTATTGCATTCCTACTGACATAGGTTAGGACATTGTAGACAGAAGGTTATTGCATTCCTACTGACATAGGTGAGGATATTAAAGACAGAAGGTTAGCGCATGCCTACTGACGTAGGTAAGGATATTGTAGCCAGAAGGTTAGTGCATGCTTACTGACATAGGTTAGGATATGGTAGACAGAAGGTTAGTACATGCTTGCTGACATAGGTAAGGATTTTGTAGACAGAAGGTTATTGCATTCCTACTGACATAGGTGAGGATATTGTAGACAGAAGGCTAGTGCATGCCTACTGACGTAGGTAAGGATATTGTAGACAGAATGTTAGTGCATGCCTACTCACATAGGTTAGGATATTTAATACACAAGGTTAGTGCATGCCTACTCACATAGGTTAGGATATTGTAGGCAGAAGGTTAGAGCATGCCTACTTATGTAGGGTAGGTTATTGTAGACAGAGGGTTAGTGCATGCCTACAGACATAGGTTAGGATATAGTAGACAGAAGGTTAGTTCATGCCTACTGACATAGCCAGCCATATTGGATTTCTGATCAACCCGAAAAATAACAACACTTGGTCAGGGAGTCGTCAGTAACATTGCCATGAAGTATCAATGAAATCTCTTTTAAGTTGAAAATTTAAATTGTTAACGGACGACGGATGACGACGGCATAGGTTAGGATATTGTAGGCAGAAGGTAAGTGCATGCCTACTGACGTAGGTAAGGATATTGTAGCCAGAAGGTTAGTGCATGCTTACTGACATAGGTAAGGATATTGTAGACTGAAGGTTAGTATATGCCTACTGACATAGGCTAGGATATTAAAGACAGAAGGTTAGCGCATGCCTACTGACGTAGGTAAGGATATTGTAGACTGAAGGTTAGTATATGCCTCCTGACATAGGTAAGGATTTTGTAGACAGAAGGTTAGCGCATGCCTACTGACGTAGGTAAGGATATTGTAGACAGAAAGTTAGTATATGCCTACTGACATAGGGTAGGATAGGAAAGACAGAAGTTTAGTGCATGCCTACTGATATAGGTAAGGATATTGTAGACGGAAGGTTAGTGTATGCCTACTGTCCTAGGTGAGGATATTGTAGACAGAATGTTAGTGCATGCCTACTTACATAGGTAAGGATATTGTAGACGGAAGGTTAGTGTATGCCTACTGTCCTAGGTGAGGATATTGTAGACAGAGGGTTAGTGCATGCCTACAGACATAGGTTAGGATATAGTAGACAGAAGGTTAGTTCATGCCTACTGACATAGCCAGCCATATTGGATTTCTGATCCACCCGAAAAATAACAACACTTGGTCAGGGAGTTGTCAGTAACATTGCCATGAAGTATCAATGAAATCCCTTTTAAGTTGAAAATTTAAAATGTTAACGGACGACGGATGACGACGGATGAAGACGGATAGCAATAGGTCACTTGAGCTGAAGCTCAGGTGACCTAAAAAGGGCCCTCACCAACATAAGCAATTTTTTTCAAACATATGACCTGGAACATAAGTGTGTTTATTCAAATGCCTATTGATAAGGTATGTTAACTGAATAGCCTAACAGGAATTTCTAGATAAGGAGACTTAAATATGGCGCGAGTGTATGTTACCTTGAGAGGCAGCCAAGTAGATATAGTCCACTGTAGTACGAGTGTAATTCAGGAGAGCTGTGGGTGTGACCTTGACGCTGCGTGTTCGTCTTCCCTGCAGTTTCTTAGGTATGGAGGACTTCAGGTCAAACATGGTCAGGCAGCTGTTTCCTACACACTTTGTTACTGTTAAAGAAAAATGAAACACAACGTAAAAATGACATTGTTATATACCATATATCAAATTTTGTCAAAATTTAACTGATCTATATCCTCTACAGTCAGGAAACATAAGGGGAGATGAGTAATCTATACCCTCTAATTTAGGGATAATTATGGGGAAAATATCTCACTTCATTAAAATTAATTACTCGATATGCTTTCACTCTTAAAATATAAATATTGTAAAAGTAAAGTTTGAACATGATTGATGGGAATCTTAACAGAAATTTAGAAACTGAAACATCAATCGCCTGCCTGAAAGACCACATGACCTAATTTTTGACTGCTTGGGTCCATTGAAGTAAATTTTACTTTTTGAGATTTAAGGATGTTTACGGTCCTACATACCAACATAGTTATCAGAGAGCATGACAAGTCCATCAACAATGTCACTGCTGTTGCTGTCATCACTGGCACTGTCACTCTTATCATCTGTTATTGGCAGTGAGAGCTCAAGGTCAGGCTCCCTGGGAGAAAAAGAGGGTAAAATAAAACAAAAGTTTATAGTAGGGTATCATCAAGTACAGCTCTACTCCAGGTATACATATACAACTGAAGCAGATCACTTGTACAGAAAACAACATCTCTTTTCAGTATACTTCACAGTACCAAAATGCCAACAGCCTACTGCTAAATTGTAAAATTTCAAATTGATTCCATTTAGCTTATGCACAATATGAGGACTCACTATCTATTGAAAGGATTTGTTTCGAAAGACCAGACATAATTAAAACATTATGATTTTATACAGTATCTGAAACAAACAGGAAATACAGTGACCTACATTGGCTCTGTTGGTGTAGTAATTTAACATAACCACATATTAAGTTTGTAGACTGTTGGACCTCTAGTAAAAGTTAAGGAACAGAAACTCTAACAAAGTTGTAATACAAACAGACATATGAAAGTAAACGTTTCAGGGTTTGTGTCCCATTGTAGTTAATTTTTCCTACATACAGTAACCTCCCCTTAGTTTTGTTTTAGATATGTAGTAAAACTAGGCCACCAAACTGCCACTGGTCCGGTAGCTCAGTGGCAATGATCATATCGTGTGATCAGGTCCAGGGTTCAAATCTAGGTTCCTTTGTGTATTTATTCTCTGAACTGGTATTACTTTCTTAAAAATTCTGCAAGGTATGAGTTTCTTTTCAGAAATAATTTGTGAAAGCTACTGTCAGTGTTCTGATATTTTAGTTATTCTCTTTACTTACTTGTTAAGCTTATTCATGTCTTTGAGCTTCCATAAGTAGCAGGTATTTTCACAGCCTGCTAGCAAACTGTTTGTGCTCAGGCTGATGGCGAGGTTTAGAGGGTCTGTTCCTGGGGTAACCAGACACTTCAGCTTTCTACAAACAGGAAGGTACATTAATTACTTTCTGTCAGCAACAAATCCATTGACATAGAGTCAGAATGGTTAACTGTCAATGATGGACAAATTGTAAATCATTACCAGTTTCATTTGGTGTAGCCTGAAATCATACTGACAGAAAACTTATGCCATAAGAATCATTAAAGATTTATTAAGGGGGAAAAAAAAGAGCTAAAAAATCAAGATGAAGATATTGTTTCCACAACAAAATTTAGGAAACGCCTTATTTAATGTGATTAATTAGTAAAACACCATCATACATCATTTGTTCTGGAATTTGAAATTATCTTGAGAATTAAGTTATGAGTTTTCCTTAGTTTGATAAAACAATTCTAAAGTGATAAGACCTGTTTTACTGACCTGAAGTTGGTGGAGTAGTCGGACAGGTCTGGTATCCCAATGTCCCACATGATGATTCTGTTGTCCTTCCCACCACCTGATAATTACAAATACTCTCAACACTGAATAACTCACTTATACACAAACATTGCAATTTATAGTTAATATTATGCTTTCGATTATCTTCAAACTAAAACGTCTTAGTCTGGCAGCAGGTTGGCTGAAGTAAAAGTTTTGTCTATAAAAAACAAATAGAGAGGTCTGTAAGCTATATTCTACCCACTAAGCTTGTTACCTTGAAGATCATATAATATACAATACACAGAACTTTATATTTGAAGTTTTTTAGCAGACATCAACCTTGGTAGTATACATAATGAAGCAACATTTGACATTGACAGCATTAGACAGAATATGAAATTGGTGTTTTTAGGTGCAGGTTTGACTCCGTCAGAGTCAATTTATCCTGAACTTCTAAACGGGACCTGGTAATAATGTGGTAACCACTGGAAAGTCTTAGTTGAAAGTAATATCTATATATCTTTATATAAAATTTAAAAGATTACACTTGAACCACTGTGAAGCAATGAACTTATTTGTTACATTCTACCCCATGATGCGACCTGAAACTTCATAAAATAATCTTCAGTGTTTCATTATAAGCAGTTCAAAAGTCACAACCTGGTAAATGCTTAATACCTCCTTCATTGGGCTTTGGGAATGTGGAGTCTTAACTTCACAAGTTATATCAGGTTTATGGGTGACCACCTACAGGTTACAGTTATATTTGGATGAGCCATTAATTAATCAAGCCAAATGTTCTAATACTTGATAGGATGGCTGCCCCAATTTTCGAAACAATTCATTCACACATAACATTAGGAAGCACATGAGCTAGGTCAGAAGTGTAATGATTAGGTGTGCTAGTCCCTTTCAATGGCAAGTTATGTCAATAATGGATCTTGTATAATCATTGATAGTAAGTTCAAAACAAGTCGTGTTTTACGTCCTTTTAACAGCTATGGTCATTTTAGGATGTGCTAGGTTTTGGTGGTGGAGGAAAGCTAAGGTTCCTGGAGAAAAAACCACTGACAGACGGCCAGAACCTGGCGACTCCCCCAGGAAGGTCTCGAAACAGCAACCCCGTGGCGAAGGGCTAGTGGTAGCAAAAGGTCAGACGCCTTAAACACTTGGACAATAAGATCAAAATATATCTTATGTGAAAGCACAAGGAACTGAACTGATACATTTTATGGTCAAGCTCAACTTTTATAGATGGTGGCAGACTTACTGAAAAGGATGGTAGGGTAGGAGGGGTGGAAGGCGAGACAGCTGATGTAGCGGCGGTGACCCTCCAGTGTAGCATACATGACAAGCTGTGATGGGTGGATTAGTTTAACGTCACATGCATCCCCTGCGACAGCAAGGATGTTGGTGGTCTCCGTAGAGTTTTCCTCATCCAAGTGGATCGTGGTCCAGGCCAAAGTGTAGAAAGACTGAGAGAAAAATAAAATACAAGTTGTTTAGCATAGTGACAACATATATTGTATCTTAAGCATATTTTTAAGTCATTCCTTAATAAGTAATAAACATGATACCGAAAGTGATGTACATCAATCTAACCATTGGTTGTATATAAAAATGATTACGGCTATACACTTTCATTTGGCAAACTATCACTTTTCCAGAGAGTAAAGTTTGCAGCTTACCATTTGTGGAAGATGTATTCTTATTTTTCTAGATATTTCGTTGAATTTTACTGTCATATTGAATTGGAGGATTCAATAAATCGTAAAAATCTGGATAAATAACACAAAAATAGGTGAATATCATATTATTCAGCATCAAGATCAGTTAATTACTCTCATTTTACCTCTTTCTTGTCTGTGTCCTTGAACCTCCTCATGACCTTGCCGGTCTGACAGTCGACCAAACAAACTATCTTGCCACCAACTGTAGCTACCACATTGGTGTGCTCGCCTACAATCCAGACAACAGTGATTACAATGAGACTTTTACTGAAGATTACACAGACTTATATATGGACTCCATATAAATACATAGACAGGATTACATAGGGGGGTACAAGTTGTGCCGTAATTGTTCAATCAGTTAATTTTTTAAGAAGAATGTGAAAATTTTGCTTAGTTCTGTGTACACTAGATCAAAGCAGAAGCAGATTTCCCCCTTTTTAACAAATTCAAAAAAATATTGTAATATACTAATGCTGACCGTGAAGACTTAAGTTTGCAAACATTTTGATACCATGCACCTGGAGTGCATTAAGCATGTGGGGAACAGAAATATAGATGATCTTTCCAAAAGTTAGCAAGTCCGACATGTTTGTTTTTATGCTTTCAAATACTGGTACTGGTATATCAATCATTAAAGTAGGTTTAAACTCATCCAACTTTGTAGTACAATAATATTTCACAAACACAAAAGAAACATAACTGATAATTCATAATACTCCGTTTTCACTGTACTGTAGACCATGAATGTGAGGACTTACTTGGGTTGTTAGGTTTGGGTTCAAATGCACATCGCCACACCTTGGTGTTGTCATCAGAAGGGCTGTCCTCGTCCGAGTGACAACGTACAAAGTAGGTTGGGTCGTAGTCAGGTACGGGTGCCTGAAGTCAATCATATCAGAGAGTATAACCTATGACCAATCAACTAACAACAATCAACAAAGCAACAAATCCACTCACAGACAGTCTACAAAACAACCAATCCACTCACAGACAGTCTACAGAACAACCAATTCACTCACAGACAGCCTACAAAACAACTAATCCACTCACAGACAGTCTACAAAACAACCAATCCACTCACAGACAGTCTAAAAAAACAACCAATCCACTCTCAGACAGTCTACAAAACAACCAATCCACTCACAGACAGTCTACAAAACAACCAATCCACTCACAGACAGTCAACAAAACAACCAATCCACTCAGACAGTCTACAAAACAACCAATCCACTCACAGACAGTCTACAAAACAACCAATCCACTCAGACAGTCTACAAAGCAACCAATCGACATACAATCTATAAAACACCCAATCCACTAACAACAATCTATAAAGCAACAAATCCACATACAGACAGTCTACAAAACAACCAATTAACTTATAGGAGTTACTATTCTAAGTTATCTCATCTGTTGCTTACAATGGAAAAACATTCTTACTTTATGATAAGATAGTTATATGTTAAGACATTTTACCATTTTTTATTTCTTTTTGAAATAATATCAGTTCACTCTCATGACATCTATTAATAATGTTTGATAAGATTTCATATAATAACATTAAAAGGTTTCACATAAGAATAGGTTCTGCACTGCTTAAATACTTTTAGACTGTATATTTAATTCAAAACCAATACTATACAAAATCATGAATACAATTATACCGTACAGCTACCTACCAGATGATCTATACGTGGGTTATTGAGGGCTGTGTACTTTGGAGATGACAGTTGACCAGTCTCTGTTCTGTACGATTTGGCCTTCTGTTTACATTCTGACTCTGGGGTGGATGATCGTCTGCGTTTCTTGCCTTTGTTTTGAGTTTTGGTTGCAGATGCTGGCGACCTATGGCTGAACTTTGGTGATGACATATGTCCAGTTTCTGTTCTGTATGATTTGGAGCTTGGTTTTGAAGGTGACCCTGGGCTGGAATCCCTTCGTCGTTTCTGGCCCCTCCCCTCTTTTTTAGGTGTTCTCTCGGAGTCTTGTGTGCTTGCTGGTACTACATTTTTAGGAGTGGGTGGTTTGTCTGTGGGTGTGTCGATAAGTCGTTTGTTGGGCACAGGAGTACGCGAGCTTTGTCTAACAGGTGTGGTCTCCGGAGACTGAAGGTCATTGAGGCGGGCACTGCGGGGAGTCCCAGGAAGGGAGTGTGTGGAGTTGTAGATTGACAAGTTCTTGGCAGACTGGACCATCTCTTTGGCAAGTTTCTCCAGCTGAAGGACAAAGTACATCATACAGCCTTGATCATCTTTACACTAATGATTATTGGCAATTGAATGCCTTAGGCTTCAAAGAGCAAATTTGAAAAATAAAATTAAAATTAGAAAATGTTTGTTAAATATTTATTATTATTCTATTTATTAAATTTGATGATATTGAGAGTAATGCAACTAAATAAAATATCTCCAATGAAGATAGTGTGTGGACGGACATACAGAGAAAAGTCTAACAATGAATGTCCCATCCACTAATAACTATGTTGTCATGGCAGGAAAGTGTTCTCTATGAAGCAATAACTACAACAGTGTTTAAGTAAAAAGGTTGTCTTTGAAGCTTTTATTTTTGACTCGCATACTGAAAAAGTAAGCAATCAAATCAATAGAACCAAGTAAATGTATCCTTTAGTGCTACATCACTGTACAGCTAGATGTACTGGTGTGAATTCAATAAATAAAACATTATAAACATGTTTCATTTCATGCTTCCATCCTTGACCATGTACTGGAATATTTAGTCACTACTAAGATGAATTTGGATAACTAAGTTCTTCCAACCTGGAGAACTCAAACTTAACGGTTATCAGTGAGTGTAGCTATTATTTCACATTAAGAATGCAGAAGATTTATACACTATCCCAGTTTCTCACCATATACTTTTCAAATTTGGAATCAGCATTTTTGAAGAGATTATCTTTCCTCAGGCAGTCAAGGAACTCATCGGTCACCTGGTCCACCTCGTCGTCAGGGATACCAGTGGCGTAAGGCTCAGCAAATAACACCTCCCACTTAGCCTTTACCTGTAAAATCAAGTACAATGTCAGAGTCACATTCTGACTGAAATACTTCGTGTAAGTAAAACAATATATCATGTCTATCGTTAAGATAACACATCATATCTAGTACTACTTTAATAGGGATATATGCCATATTACGGTAACATTTACTCTTTTTCTTAAAGAGTTACACATTAATAAATAAATACAGTGTCCTTTATGAATTGTAATGTGATGTTTGTTCATTAAAAGTAACCGAGAGGGAAGGTATTTGCAACATTTACACGTATTTGCTACACCAACATTAAAAGATATTTCCCACATACATTATTGAAGCTGTTATCTGTCTAAACATGTATGGCATTTTATTTATAACACCGACTAAAAAGATTAACTAGTTTTTGGTGAGAACATTGCTTCAGTTTCTTTCAAGCTCATCCTAAAGTGCTTAAATTGGTATGTGTAATCAGGAGAAATAATTTTGGACTAATTTCTCTAATATAACAGTGTTTGGTTATACTTTCTAGGAAGAAATATCTTCCTTTTTTTTATATTTAGCATACCTTCAAAATGCTCAAACTAACTGTATACATGCGTAATTTAGAAGTTATAATGTTGAACTATTGTTACCTGTAGTACGTATATGTGTTAAGTTAGGCTTCCATTGTGATGACATATCTTTTATTTCTCTCATACCTCTTCGTGCTTCAACACGTTTCTGCATGTGTTGCCATTAAGTAGTGTTGTTCAGTTAAGTTTACCAATGTAATAGTGTTGAGTGAAATCTTCAGAGAGATGAGATCTCCAACATACCTCTAACTTCCCCAAAACACTTCTTTGTATATGAAGAAAGGACATGTAATGCCAGTGATTTTTTTTCTTACCACTTTTTAATGGGAAACATTTTCTAAGTTTAAGATTTTATAAGGGGTCATAACAAAGAACTCACCTGTATCTCAAACTTGCTACGTATTTGCCTTACGACCTGTAGAAGAGAGCTGGCCCTCTGGTCATCTATCTGGGTCAGACTGGAGTTCTCTACTATGGCAATTAGGCGGTCAGCTTTCTACAGGACACAAAATGTAGATAGATTTATATGATATCGCAAAGTTTTTGGTAACTTTTGCTATATGGTATCACTGAAGCAGCAGAATTTATTTTATGTCCATTGACACAAGTTTAACAAGCAAATTTGTGGAATTTATATCCCCCGCTTGCAGGATATATTGTAGGTAAACATTATCGAGGTTAGGTTTAAACATGTGAGTATCGTGCTGTTGAGACATAATGTATAGCTTGAGACTTGTAAAAAAAGCCTTATACAGAAGTGAGACTTTTTATAGAACATGTAGGAATTACGGTGTAAATTAATCTTTTTATCCATCAGAATATACTTACCTCATAAATCATCAGTAAATATGCACAAATCACATTGGTTGAAATATCTGCACAATATCTACAGCAATTATCACACGACAAACAAAGAGTGCCCAAGATAGATGGATGGAAAGAAAGAGGAACAAAAACATTTTTATCAAGATTGAAGGAATTTGGCTAATATTTGCTTTTAGTTTGGAAACTACAGATGATGATGTTTTTTTGTTATTCAAGAGGCAATAACTCTGCCAAACAAATTCTGCTGAAAGTAGTCAACAAACTTGGTCGAGTCTTTAAGGCATTTAACCCTGGTACCAAGTTTGAAGAAAATCGGTAACATTTGTTGCAGTTATTGCACGGAAACGAAGCGTGACAGACAGATTCAAATTAATATCCTGCATTTCGGGGAAACCAGCGGATAATAATTATAACTGTAAACTAGGCATATGTGTATCAGATTATAAAACAGTGAAGCCCTCAATCTTTTTATAGGATCAAATATCATACTGATCTGCTTATAATTGGCAAAATTCTGCCGGAAAAACTAAGGTTTTCTTCAATATACCAGGTAGAAAGAAACATAGTTCTCATTTTGATAATAAAAATACAGGGAACGGCTCATAAACAAGAAAATAGAAACTTGACAAAAATTGAAAGTGAAAAAAGAAAATTATATACAGGAATTTTCTTGGAAGAAACCTGACTTCTTGCTCAACAAGATCAACTTCATGTTACTAAGTGGCCACTTACCCCCAGATCATGGTTGCCAGCAATATATAGAGAGGCTAGCTTTGGAAATTTCTGTCCAAATGATAAAGAGCTAATTGAGTTGTCTGAAATATCGAATGTGGTCAGTGAAGGAAGACAGATGTCTGTGGGAATACTGCTGATGTTGTTATTGGACAGGTCAAGACTTTGCAAGGTCACCAGTTGGTTCATGATCTTGGGATCCAATGTGGTAAGGTTCTTGTCAGAGAGGCTACAAAAAAAACATGGTTGTCTTAAAGGGAAGGGAGTAAAACTCAATGCTGTAAGGTCTGTTAGGCTACATGAGGACATTATGGGGGTATAGGGTACAGGAAAGGGAGATAATAATTCTAAACACTATAGTTATACATTTTTTATATTCAATAAATATTTGCACATATGTTTTTTCTAATTTCAGAAATTTTTCAATGCACAAGGTCAAAATCAATAACCAATGTCTTTCCTGATCATGAGGTAGGGATAAGGCCCAAACAAAGAATGTCTGTTTCAGATAGCATGCCTGAAAAAAGGGTAGATCTGTTTTTTTAATTTTCGTTAATTAATATTATGCTTTATTTAAAATTTTACAATGGCTATTCATTTGTCAAGAATAATGTCAGACTCCCAGAACAGGAATAAAGTACATTTTAATGACTTTATGAGTGGCTGTGAACTTTGCCTGGCTAATACATTGATCTCAGATACAAGTAGGTGATAAAATGTCTAGGGTCTGCAGGAAAATCTAGGGTAGGTCAGTATACTTGAAACACTGTTACACACATTGTTTTTCTGGCCTAATCATGAACCCCATTTATTCTTAAGTAGATTTATCATGATCACAAAGAAAATATCATACGAGATAATGCCCCAATAGTTCATTGAATAGAATAACATTGTATATATACATGTACTGGGTATTCATTTGTTTAAATCTCTTAATGGCAGTATAAACGAAATTGACATCCAAACAAAATTAGTTAAAAATTAGTTTCAACCCTTTCTTTAAAGGTTATAATTACAGCTTGTTAATTCCTTCACCTCCTTCAGTGGCAGCCATATGTATAATTATAGTTATGAAGACAGTATGAGAATAACTTCCTTTTTTTCTGTTACATTATTAAAATTAAGCTAATTTCTATAAAATAAAGTTTCAAGAATCAACATTAAAATACAATTAAAAAAAAATATGATTAAGTTGTTGATCATAACAAGTCTGTCATATAGAAAATGAAGATGGAAAAAATACTTGAATGGAATATTACCATTCAGATCTATACTTTAATTTTCTGACATTAAAATCCATACTTACTCAAGACTTTTAATTTTGGACAGTGCCAGTCCATTTCCAGCCTTCCTTATCACAGCTTCTGAGAGTGACATGGTAATCTGTCATAAAATAAAAACAATTCAATGTTACAATGCTTATTAATATTATATCCCGACATCTATTTAAGGTTTGAAATGCATCCTTTTGATATTTATGAGGACATACAACACAGTTCAATTCAAATACAGACCATGACATGCCGTATATAGCACATCTTGGAGAGTATGATTGAATTAACTGTGTAACAATCCGTCATAAATATTTACAAGAGTACAGAAGGGCAGAAAAATATATGCCTGTCCCATGGCATTTGTCCTAAATTACTCACACAGTTTTATTGTAAGACTGAAACTGTTTCGGATTGAAAATTAGTGGTAATGGTTCCTGCCTTAACTGCTTTTAATACAACAACATTTTTTATTAGTAGGTTTATTTAAGGACTGTATAAGGGAAGTGCAGTGATAACAATGTTTCTGATTGGATTATAATTAATTATAGAACTAAAACCCTGAAGTGACATGGTTATCTCTCATGCTTGAGTTTTCCTAGTCATATTGTCCTTTATGGCCCTATATGTGATATAACCAGGGTAATACTATCATAAAACCAATGTTTTCCTTCTGACAACAAAAGATAAAAATCAATGTCTAAAAAATGGCCTCAAAATTAAATGGCCTCTATATATACACTGATGAACTAGATAGATGATATCTAAATAGTTAGGGGCTAAATTGTGGTCTCAGTTTATCTGTATTACATCATACCTACTGGTATGTTATCATGTTGTTTTGATGATGCCTATATTGCTTGTGGCAAAATGACAGTCTTTTGAACTGATCCAAATCAATCACATCTGTATACATTACAAATGTTTGAGACAGAAAACAAGAAAAGTGAGAACCATGTAGCTGTTTGGGGTCCCATCATAATATTATTGGTGACACACTTATAACACTATCACATATTGTAGCTCTGCTTTCTCAACCATTACCTATATACAAAGTGTGACCAGCTCCACATCTGGTGCTGGTGTGCCACGAGTTTGTACATGTAGAGATGTGTATAATTAACAAAAGATAATAATTATGAAAGATGATTAAAAGATTAACATGCTTTTGTTACATGTCTGCATAGATGATTGTATCTGATAACAGAGCGTCTGAAACTCTCTTGAAAAAGCCACCATCCTGCATCTATTTTTTTTTTTTTTAAATGAACATAGGAGTATACGTAGCAACATTATTTACATCTGAAACTGCAACAGATGAAGTACCCAAATTATAGATCACTGACATCCAATGTAAAATGATTAACAGATAGAAACAGTTGTCAATTGAAAAATAAAATAAAAAATTAACACCAGACTGACTCATACGTATAGGTGCTAATCATACGGTTGAAAAACGAAAAATAGAATGTTACATTGTTGTGTCATCGCTAGCTTTTATACAAATGTGAAATGTTTATTTCACCCTGTATCAGTTTGTCCTATCATTATACAGTTTAATATTTTGATGCTCTGAAATAGAAAAAAGTTTTGTAATAATAGTTGATGTAGTTTTATGGGTAGCACAGGTTTTATGGTGAGAGAATCTTTAAAAAATCACACCTTTTTTATACTAAAAATATATTCCAAAATATAAATAAGATCCAGATATGCATTTAATATAAAATTTACCCCTGAGCAGGTGTCTAAGATTTTGACAGGAATAAAATGTCCACTATCAATCTTTTTGCAAATCGTGGTTTCAAGCATTTCTTGGGTTATATTGTCCAATGATTTACAACACTGACAAATATGTCAATAATTACCATGTTGGTTAGTAAATATTTAAGTCATAAACAAATGCATTTGACTATAGCATGATTTCACCTATAATTAAATGTATAAAAGCCCATTTTTTTAATCCTTGACTTGTCAGCTTTATTCCAATAAACTTAATCTTATATAACATAATCCTTGACTTGTCAGCTTTATTCCAATAAACTTAATCTTATTTAACATAATTGTATGAAAGCTTTACAATCTGATATTTTTATTCTTTTAAATCCATTTACAACATTTCATTGTATAAAATTATAATCATTGTAATAGTTCTTATAATGTTCAATGTTATTTGAAGTCCAAAATGAAATTTCTAATCTAGAAATGTACATGGGCTTACAATCATGAGACTTAACAAATTTTAATAATTTCTTTCATAATGCATAACACCACAGATTTAGCAATTTTATTCTGTGATAAAAAGTGTGAAATCAGTTCTGAAGATTTTTTTTATATCTGTTCAGTGATTTTTTTTAATAACATAACTTTCATAACATAAACATAAATATTTATTATTATTCTCTTAAATAATACCAAAACAACATGAATTGTACTTACTGTATTGCTTGTCACCTGGAGCTCCTCCCAAATTGTACTACTGGTTTGTATATAATACACCTTGTTACCTCGACCTCCCCCTGTGTTATGACAGCCTCCCACTGTAATGTGAAAATGACACTTTTTTATGTAAACTAACAACTGGTGTCAGCTGGCCGGGGCCTAACATCAAAGGTCAACTGGTCAAGCCTGACTGTCCATGTTCATCCACCCCTATCACACAAGGTGATCATAGCCTAAAGGGACAGGAAAGGGCCCTAGGGGGGCTGGATACCCTGTGCTGGTTTAACACCAGGAACAATGGTCATAAAAACAACATGTTTGACTTATTCAGTAAACTTACAAGCCATGAATGGTGAGAAATTCCTTTTATCTCAAAATCAGACATCAAATGTATTTGTATTCAATTGTAAGGGAACCAAATATAATTAATAAATGTCAAAGAGGTGAATTATTACGAGAGTAAACTGTTTCATTTATAGAATTTGAACTAAGAAACTAAATGACATGTTTCAACATGATAGATTATATTATCTAAATACATGAGGACAAAGTTATTGAAAATAGGTTAATAAATATTTATATGAACTTCTTTCTAATCTCCAAAACTGGTGATTATAAAAAAACCACAAACTTTTTAATAAATACCATATAATTATATTTGCTATCTTAGTCTGCATCAATACAGTATTTATTTTCTTGAAAATATAGGGATTGACACCTGTTTACATTTAATTTTGAGATGAATAAGAAATTCTTCCATTTTTGTTTTGTTTTACTAAAACAACTTGTATAATAAACATAATGAGCATTTTCTAATAATTGTGAATACAAGGATACTTCAGGAATGCATGAACAGTAAGTTTTCCCCCATTTATTTCAGTAATTCCTGTAGGAACTCTATTTAAATATGGAAGTTGCTTGGTAACAATATCGTATAAATCTCTGATTTAGATAGAGTTCTTTACATGAATTATAATTTCAGTATTCATTGCAGTTTTGTGTCACTCAAATTCTGCATTTAAAAATTTTACTTTCAGACAAAATCAACATTTTTTTTAATGATATCTGCAAAGTTCATTATTGATATTGTTCTTAACATTGGTATACCAAGCAACTTCCATATTTTTTTTGGAGGAAAAGTTTTGAGCCCATCACATACTATATACACTGACATGAGCCTGTATGAAACACATGGTACATACCAAGGAATTAGATTGCTATCTAAGTCCGTTGTACATACAAATCATATCAAGCACCTATGAATTTTTATTAATACATACCATGCCGCCCGAGTTAGGACGCAATATATAATATTAATTTTCGTGGTCAGAAAGTACGTTATCGTAGTACTAATATTATTACCCGGCCTTCTCTGACGGCACAAATACAAACAAGTTGTCTCGCCGTCAGAAGCTAACATGTTACGTCATCGCAACTACTGTGAACAAATATACCGGCAGCCGACATTAACCAAACATAAATCATTTCATATTATGAAATTAACAATTACAAAACCACGTTGCACAACTAAAGACAGGTTTAGGTTTGTATAGGTAATAAAATCGATGGGGGCCTGTAAGAATTTTATCAACATCGGCTGTGCCTACCTTGTTTACCCCAGCCTTTTCCCGCGAAATTACCATGCTGCCGGATGTTTTGAGTTATATTGTAAGCTACAAAACGATATTGTAATGTGGCCGTTAGATTACGACAAAATAACACTAAATGCAATACTTAGATACAGACAATTAATTTTGAAGTATTTGTGTCTGAAATATTTCTGTTAAAGTTTAATTAAGGAATTTATATTAGATATATTGGTTTAAAAAAAGTTTTAATGTTGAAATCCGCCCGGCTCGAAATTTACATTTACCGGAAATTGCATTTCATATGATAAACAACATGGAGGCATGCGGATGTAAGGGCATACGTACCTGTGTTATTTGTGAAGAAGAGGGGAAGCTGCCAGCTGGATCAGGACGGAAGGTGAATAAATAATCACGATCATAAACTTACGGACTTATACGATGTGTTCATCAATAGCTTAAGAGTTTTGCTCATGGTTTACAGTATGTACACATTAACTTGTAGCAGAGACGTGATAATTTATCAGGTCGGGGAAAACCACTAACTTGCGTATAAAACGCAAACTCGCCTATTATACGCCAATAGGGGTATGCATTTGTTACTAAATATAGCCAAAATCACATTTAAATCTTAACTTTTTCTAATTGTTTGTCTAAGTCGCATTTATTCAGTCATGAAACATATTACACTGATACAAATGCAAAAATAAACTTTATTTGCATGTGGGAAAGTAGTTCTAGTTCTACCACCTTCAACTAATTGAAGATTTTGTCACGAAGTTGGGACTGTGCAGCACAAATGACAGACTATTTATATTACATAATAATTATTCACTTAGTTAAAGTTAAGAGAAGGAGAATTTAGTTCGAGGAGAGTCCGAGAGAGAGGTTCGAGCAAGCCAGTGATTGGGCAGCCGCCACCGACAAAGCATGTTCCGGAGAAGGGGGAAAAGAAGAGATGGTGAATTATTATGTAGTCTGTTGAAGTAACTAATTACTCTGCATCTTCGATTTTACAGGTGTGCCTGGAAAGAGATGTTTTGAAAGAGTTTAAAGTGGGTGCATTAACGATGTCAGATGGTAATTTGTTCCAGTCTAGTATGGTACAAGGAAAAAAAGATAGTTGTCTAGTTAGTGTTTTCACGAAATATCTATGTCCGTGGTGTTTTCGAGTATTGCTGTTGGTATTGGACCTGGTGGGAATTTCTAGGAATTCTTCTGGCTCTGTGCATCCTGTCAGTCGTGGATATGGCCACCGTGCCCTGATGAATTTTATGGAACATCTTTAGGCGTGCATCTTTCCTACGATCTGACAGGCTACGCCAGCCAAGAGTACCAATCATATCTGTTACACTAGAGGTATTCCGAAAGCGTTTTGACACATATCACACTCCTCTCCTATAACCATTTCTATTTTGTTGATATTATTTTTTGTGTACGGATCCCAAACAGAGCAAGCATGTTCTAAAGAGTGGATTACCAAAGATTTGTAAGCCTGCTCTTTAAATGTTGTTGAGCTAATTTATAGGTTTCTTCTGAGAAATCCTAGAGTAGAATTTGCATTGTTGCAAATCCCATTGGAGTCCCATTTCAAATCTGATCTGAGGGTTACACCTAGGTATTTCACGGAATCAACATGTTATTTGGCCATGAAGAGAATAATTAAAAATGACAGGGGATTTTTTATTAGAAATTGTGAGAGCATAACACTATCTGGGTGGAAAGCCATTAACCCTTTTTTCTCCCAAAGGGCTAGTTTGTCCAGGTCAGACTGTAGGGTCCTTGCAGCTTTCTCTGACGTAATTGTCAGATATACGATGGTATCATCCGCAAACAGTCTGACGGTGGAATTCAAGCCAATTGGCATGTCATTAATATAAAATAGGAACAGACTAGGCCCCAGTACAGATCCCTGGGGGACGCCGGATAAAACTGGTACATACTCAGATTAGACGCCTTCAACAAGTACTGATTGGGTTCTATTATTTAAGAAGTTTGAGATCCAGGAAGTAGTTTTATCATCTATACTATAATGACTGTGTTTGTTGGTAAGAAGAGAGTGGCTGACCTTATTAAATGCTTTGGAGAAATCTATAACCAATATATCTGATTGTTTTGAGTTGTCAAGTGTTTTGGTAATATCAACAAATTCTAAAAGTCGTGTTTCAAAGAATCTGAATTTTTCGAAAACCATGTTGACGAGGATACAAAATATTGTGGTGATCTGAATGTGACATGATGTGTGACACTATGACATGTTCCATTAACTTACAACAAAAGCAAGTGAGTGAAATAGGTCTGGAATTTTCAGGATCATATTTTTGGCCTTTTTTAAAATATTGGAGCAATATGGGTGGTTTTCCAATCTTGTGGAACAGTGCCAGATTGTGGGGACGAGTTGAATATTATACTCAAAATGGGGTCAATTTCACTAGCAAATTCTTTCAAAACTCTTGGACTCAAGTCGTCTGGGCCTGGCGAAAAAAAAAGAGTTGGAATCTGGTTTCTCTGATATGTGCATTGATGGTCGAAGCGGGGCATAGGCGAGACATATCAATCCGAATGGCTTGTATATTCAAAGTAGATAACTTTCAGTTATCTCCCTTTACAGTTAAGGTATATCAAGTGCCCCTCTCCCATTCAGGTTTAAGCCACATCAGGGGTTGTTAGTTAAATATCAGTCAGCTTTACCATTGTAACATGTTTGTTTTCAGGGAGAATGTATGTACTATTGTGAGTACTGTGGCAAGGCTTGGCCAGGTAGCAGGTCACCATGGAAACAGCATCCTGATCACCAAGACAACCCAATAGATTTCACAGGAATTAAAATAATCCAGAATTTTGTCTCTGAAGAAGAAGAGAGAAGTATATGTGAGGAGATATATAAAGTACCATTTGCTGTATCACAATCAGGAAGAAGGAAACAGGTTTGTATGCTATTAGATTGGAAGAACTAAAAAATGAATTGGAGTTTGGATTTGTCAATTTAGCTGAGCTTAATAATAACCATGCAGATTCTTTCCTGCCTACACATACACTTTAGTCTTTGTGTCAAAATTATTTTCGTTAATTTCTCTTTTCATGGTTTATACTTTGGGAAAAAATGAGGTTATTTCCCATTTGGAAGCAAGCCATGGCCATATGTTGATCGCAGAGACACCCCTGCAAAAAAAAACCCCAATGATCAATTTTGTAAAGTTCATTTTTTCTGAAACAATCATTATAAATATCATAAAATTGAACCTCAATTAGTTTGGAGATATGATCTCAAAATGCTTTTATACAGGACAATTTAGCAGTTGAAAGCCTGAATTTCATGGAATACCTAATCTTCCACTTCTTGTTGTCACAAAACCATTACAGTGGCTGTTTGTTAAACTAGCTTAGATTATCTTGTTTTGACTTCAGATGGATTACACAACATTCTGTTTACTCAATAAGTGTCTCTCCAAGCAAGGACATATCTAAAAGCTGAATAAATCAATAACAATGGTCATACACATGTATTATAAAACGGTTCTGCTACCTGAGGGTCAAGGTAGTCCCATACATATGGGGTCACAGATCTATGTAAATGATACGTTGTCAGCAGTTTATATTTTAGTTGGTCTTATAATACTATATCATGTAGTAGTGTAATACAAACAGTTGAAAGTCTCGTGTAAAAGGATCTTAATTATTATTCATGATCAGGCACATTTTGTTTTGATTTGTTTTAGGATTATGGCCCAAAAGTGAATTTTAAGAAGAAGAAGTTAAAATGTGATGTATTTACTGGACTGCCAAACTTTAGTGAACCACTGTATCAACGGATGACGGAGGTGGCCGAGCTTGCAGACTTTACACCTGTAGAACTATGTAACCTGGAGTACTCTCCCCTTAGAGGTTCTGCCATTGATCCACACTTTGATGATTTCTGGTTGTGGGGTGAGAGACTTGTGACCTTGAACTTGTTGTCAGACACTTTTCTGTACTTCATCAAGGATGGTGAGGATGTGGAGGTCAAAGTGCCACTCCATCAGAGGTCATTGATAGTGGTGTACGGACCAGCGCGACACTCCTGGAAACATGGCATCCACAGGGAGGATATCACTGGTGATAGAATTGCCATTACACTAAGGGAACTGTCCAAGGAGTTCCAAAGGGATGATAAACTAATAGCAGTTGGGCAAAAACTTAAAGACATTGCACTGACTTTTCAGGGTCAGATGGTTGGTTCCTAACAAATCTAAATGGTCTCTACTATTATAAGCATTATTATTGCGATATTACAAAGATATATTTGTGCTTTGGATGTGGGTGTATGACCTGCTTTCTGAGTAAATTATAAAAGATGTACAAATGTATATTTTAGTTCTTTTTTTACCCACATGCTACTAAAAGTAACTAACAATACATGACGTCTTCAACACCAATCTAATTAAAATTACCCGGTAGATTGGATCAACACTGTATACATGATCTGAAATCTGCTGAGCTGTGGCAATATTTTAAAGATTCCAAAGATCAGCGGCAGTGTAGCAATACATCAAATATATGTGTCACATCAGTCAGGATCCAAGATCAATACATCAAAAATATGTCACATCAGTCAGGATCCAAGCTCAATACATCATATATATGTCACATCAGTCAGGATCCAAGATCAATACATCAAATATATGTCACATCAGTCAGGATCCAAGCTCAATACATCATATATATGTCACATCAGTCAGGATCCAAGATCAATACATCAAATATATGTCACATCAGTCAGGATCCAAGCTCAATACATCAAATATATGTCACATCAGTCAAGATCCAAGCTCAATACATCAAATATATGTCACATCGGTCAAGATCCAAGCTCAATACATCAAATATGTCACATCAGTCAAGATCCAAGCTCAATACATCAAATATGTCACATCAGTCAAGATCCAAGCACAATACATCAAATATATGTCACATCGGTCAAGATCCAAGCTCAATACATCAAAAATATGTCACATCAGTCAAGATCCAAGCACAATACATCAAATATATGTCACATCGGTCAAGACCCAAACTCAATACATCAAACATGTCACATCAGTCAAGATCCAAGCACAATACATCAAATATATGTCACATCAGGCAAGATCCAAGCTCAATACATTAAATATGTCACATCAGTCAAGATCCACGCTCAATACATCAAATATATGTCACAGCACTCAAGATCCAAGCTCAATACATCAAAAATATGTCACATCAGTCAAGATCCAAGCACAATACATCAAATATATGTCACATCGGTCAAGACCCAAACTCAATACATCAAACATGTCACATCAGTCAAGATCCAAGCACAATACATCAAATATATGTCACATCAGTCAGGATCCAAGATCAATACATCAAATATATGTCACATCAGACAAGATCGAAGCTCAATACATCAAATATATGTCGCATCAGTCAAGATCCAAGCTCAATACCTCAAATATATGTCACATCAGTCAAGATCCAAGCACAATACATCAAATATATGTCACATCGGTCAAGACCCAAGCACAATACATCAAATATGTCACATCAGTCAAGATCCAAGCACAATACATCAAATATATGTCACATCAGACAAGATCGAAGCTCAATACATCAAATATATGTCACATCGGTCAAGACCCAAGCACAATACATCAAATATGTCACATCAGTCAAGATCCAAGATCAATACATCAAATATATGTCACATCAGTCATGATCCAAGCTCAATACATCAAATATATCACATCAGTCAAGATCCAAGCTCATTACATCAAATATATGTCACATCAGTCAGGAGCCAAGCTCAATACATCAAATATATGGCACATCAGTCAGGATCCAAGCTCAATACATCAAGTATATGTCACATCAGTCAGGATCCACGCTCAATACATCAAATATATGTCACAGCACTCAAGATCCAAGCTCAATACATCAAATATATTTCACATCAGTCAAGATCCAAGCTCATTACATCAAATATATGTCACATCAGTCAAGATCCAAGCTCAATACATCATGTGGGTGGAGTTATTCAATTTGTATATGTTGATCAGACTAAGGTATAAAATAATTATGAATCATTCACAGAAAAATACTGTAATTATAAGGGAATTTTTCTGTTTTGGTCAGGTGACCAGGTAATAACTTCAGTTGAGCAGGAGTAAATCCTATTCATGCTTAACCTGAGTTATCAACTTATCACCTGACCAATTTAGAAAACTTACAGGTTATGCTTTATAGATCTTAGAGTTGTAACAACACCTATACCCCTGTACTAAATGAATTGTATGCTTAATAGCAATTTTGTTTTGAAAACTTAGTCTTTCTATAGTTGTATCACTGTTATCTTGGTAGGCTATCTACCCCCATCATGCGGAAATGTGTAATTTATTTACCGATTACCGTATGCTTTGGTAATTTTATGAGTTTGACAAATCCTTATCTTTGATTTAAAAAAAAAAGTTATAGTGACACAAGAAAAGAGGTATAATATTCATGCACAATACTCTTATATTTGTTCATAATAGATCCAGTTATTGCCAGACAGTAGCATAAGGATTTGGCAAAGTTACAAAAACATTTATTATAAATGCCCATTCCATTCCATAGGGTAATATTTTAGTATAGTCTTGATATGAAATAAATTTGTTTTTTTATGAAGGAAAATATAATCAAACAGCTACAAATTTTCATTAACCATTTCACCCCTATGTAACTTTAATAACCTCTACCATTAATTGATATGGATGAGTCCATTATGGTCTACAGTGTTGAAAGGGTTAACCAGATTATAAATCATAACTGAATTTTTCATTAATTTCCAGTGGAATTTCACATACTACAATTAATACTTGGCTTATTGCAGTAGTTTTGTATGAATTTCTGTCACAACTTTAGTTTTACTGCTCAGACTGAGACTCACATTTAAAAAACCCAGAATAAAAAGTTGGTGTCATGTGCTATTTTAAATAAGTTAATGACTGGCCCAGATTTCACATCATTTTCAGTTTGTTCAGTTTGCAAAAAATAAAGTCTATATGAAAGGTGTGTGTGACACCTCAATCGGGAACCGTCGGTACTTTCCGTAAACGTGAAAATACGGAAAGTGCCGACAGTTCCCGATTGTGTGACACATGTGTCTTCATTAGTAGGAGTTGTCTCCCCTTAAACAACTTACGACCCGGGTCGTAGTAACTTCACTAAATCAAATTAACTCCTGCAATGTTTTCAAATAGGAAAACATGAGTAGAGGAATGTCTCTGAAGTTTGAAACCGTTTGTGAAGTGTATAAATATTAACGCGTGCGTTACAGAATTTCTCCTTTACAAACAAAATGACCGGTTTCTTAATGCATACCGGCAGCTTTGTACCCTTATTTTGCAGAAAGCTCAGCGGAAATTAGTCAATAATGTAAGCAATAAAGGGAGTCTTACCTACAAGTCAACCTGACTCACAGGACATAAAGGATTAGACATAGCAAGCGTAAATATTGTGGTTTGAGAAAAAGCCAATGATGGATTTCCTGTGTGACATGATGTGTAGCTGTACTATCAATAGGTCTCTGGGGGTATAGATGTGCAGTTCCGGTCGCGTCCGGTAAGTTGGAATTTTGATATTGAAAAAATAATCCTGCTGTTAGTAGCATCAGGAACGAAACAGTTGTTTGTAGCCAGCTATATGGATTGCAAAATTTCATCTTGACCAATCCACCGAAGTGTAACAGGTGGGTCAAATTTGAGCATCCCCAACTTGTAATAAGAGGACATGGTACATTATTGATGTAAGTAATAATTCTTGTTATCCAGATATCGACGAAACATTTCGTCTGAGCCTGGGATTTTCATCACACCAAGTCGCTGAAGAGAAATAAAGTATGGTTCAAATTCAGCAGCTGCCAAGCACAATTAATTCTATTTATTTTATTAACTTTAGGCCTACATTACAGTACCTGTTCGCTTCGTTGCCTCACCATAGCGAACAACCACCGCGCAAATGAAACCATCCCGACCTCAAAGGGACTTAAAAATTAGACATTTTTTTTTATATAAATTNTCCACACGTAGGTGGTCTTTCACTATTCGTACACCTTACATTCAAGAGCTATGTTTATACATGTGTTATATATACATTGTATATATATATGGGGCAAAGAAGTAATTCCAACAGTGTGGACAAGTTTAGGTTGTCAAATTTTGGGAGCGATCCGCTCCTTTTTCAAGACACGGTTAAACAGAACAGTTACATGTACATATACATCATATTACAAGAAGATAGAATTGTATATATATTGTATATTGTATATATATTGTATATTAATTGTATATATGTATATATATATTTTATATAGTTATATTAAGTTTGTAAGTTGTCCCCGCGCATGCATGTATCAGCCACCCATACACTGTATCCGTCTGCGTCATGTCCCTGTAAAGTCTTTTACTTTGCACCGGGACAAGAATGGGGACGTCCATTACCTACATGCACGCGGTATATTACTTTTTTTTTTATTACAATCATTTTTAACAATACAAAAAAGTAAAGACTCATTTTGTTTATCCAATGATAGTATTCGATTAACAATTTCTAATCAAGTCCGTATGTATATAATTCACTTTTAAAGGCTAGATTGAAAGAACCCCACTAATTCCACTCGTCCACTTTCATACATCCGTAAAAGTTTGTAATTACTTACATTGTATAGGTATTTTATTTTGGTATGTGTACATGTAAGTGACATTAAAAAAAGTTACACATATATTCCGGAAAATTTGTCCAGATTATTTTCTAGTTTTATAGTGGTGTCTAACCATGTGTGTGTACTATTCCTAATTGGGTAAGTTTTGTTCGCTTATACTTGCACTAGTGAATAATGATTGTAATTGATACACAAAGTTTCTTTCATATTAGTAACAAACAAAGTTATTTATGCTGTTTACATGTACACATTTCAGATGTAAACTGTCTGCACGCGTGACCCCGCGCGCTTGATTGAAAATGACAACACTTTCTAACTGATAGTTCCATTAGTAAAGTATATGCATGTAGACTAATCTGTCAAAAATCCTTCATAAATGTATGTAACAGATTGCTACCTACGTGCGTAAATCTGCAAACATGTTCTAGCTCCCGTTTAAAATGTTAATCGGGCTAATTTGCTTTGTTTTTTGTTCTCTTAAATGGTAGGTCTTAAATACCGCGAAACCTATCAAACACAATATTATATTCGTGCAATCGTATTTTTTTTCTTGTATTTTGTATCCTTATATCAAATACCTTAGCTGTCTCGTATTTTTACAGATACCTATGTTTTGAAAAC